CTCCTGATGAGTCGGTGAAACTCCGACAAAACAGTTTGTCACAGCCCCTCGTTTGTTGTCCTCTTCTCCCTCTCTGCCTACGGTTTACCGGGCAGTTCTATTTGACGATATATATGTCTGTGTTTTTGGATCGGGTCCATGTGGCTGTGCTTGCTTCCCCCTCCCCAGCATTCCAGGCCCGGTTTTGGATGTTGTCGCAGGCAAAGTTCAAACCCTAGCAACCCCTTGCCTCTGTCCCACAAGGTTGCAGACATTGGTCTGGGTACTTGTAATTTAGGGCCCCGTGGTAGTCCTTGGGTCAATGCGATTCAGACTGCAGGCAGAGGGCGGCGACAATAATATGGAGGACCCTCTCAAGGGTCTCTTGTGCAGCTTTGCTTAGAGGTTCATAAGCACCTCACAAGGGTCCCCTTCCAGGTTTATGGTTTCACCTATCTGTGCAGGCTGGTAGCTGGAATTTCATCGGTTTCATGTAGTTGGACATTTTCACACCAGTAGAGAGCATGTGTGACTATTCCATTCCATATATGTGTATGTTCTCACTGCTGTTGTTCACCATTGATAGACAGTCTGTTTGTGTTTTCACTGTTCCGTGTTTGGTGCAGGTCAGAGACACTTTGAAGGCAAAACATGGGAACTTAGTGTTCGAGTTGGAGGTGAGTTGAGAAGTCTAACCTCGTATTTATTAAAAAGCAGGAAACTGGGCCTAGTGTCCCTTTGTTAAGGGTAAGGGACCCTGAGATGGCGGCAGTGATTGCTTCGTTTACTGGAAGGATGTACCACCTCTCTGTCCCTCGTGACTATTTGCCTCTTTTTCTAGCCTATGCCGTACAAGACCCACTTCTTTCCCCGTTATTAGACTTAAACATTTTTGTGGGGGGGGGGGAAGGAGGACCTTTCTAATATTTGATCCAAATTATTCCTCTCAATGCTCGGCTATGAACTGTCAGAAAATCTTTAAGGGCTACAGACTTCGGTTTCAACTTTCAACTTGCCATAGCTTTTTGCTAGCGCGCTCCACTTATATTTTGTGCTAGACGTCCTTTGGGACATCCGTTAAAAATTAAAATTGGAACGAGACAGAGAAGATTACCATGGCCCCTGCGCAAGGATGACACGCATAAATCGGGAAATGGTCTAAAATTGTGCTAGACTCCAGAAAGAGGGCCCGCTTCAATCATGTCTTTGGAGACTGTGTCCTTTCACAGGAAGGTACAAGTCTGAGAGTAGGAGGGCATCCTGGGCTTGAGGAGTGGGTAAACATGGCATGTTACACGTTAAAAGAACGCCTGCAATTTGTGTCAGGCTGTTGTGTCAGTTATGCTTTGTCAAGTTTCTTTGGTCAGAAAGCGTCTGAGGGTAGGAGGGGGGGCTTGAGGAGTGGGTAAACCTGGCGCTTGTAAAAGAACAGCTGCAATTTGTGTTGGGCTGTGCCAGTTATGCGTTATGCGTGGTTTCATTCCCTGGTCAAAAGAGGGATAACAGCAGCATGCATGCATGATCCGAACTCTGTCTCCGCTTCCTTCCCTGTGCTCTTGCCATTCGCCTGGAGGGGTTGAAAAGGGTCCTTGATTGCTTTTGTGTGCACTTTGCGCGTATGACCAATGGCCTGGCCATTGGTCACACACTTGATTGCTTTCGATCGAGCAATGCTCCCTACGTGTGCCGGTATGTCATGTTTCTTTGGGCAGGCTGTTGTGCCATCCCCCCTCAGTGGACGGAACTGTTGACAAAGATGAAATAATGCCAGGGGAGTGGGTGAAGATTAAGGGATGTATGAGACCGGAGAGAGTGTACAGGGTGGAGCAGACCCTGCCTGATGGGGGATTGGAGGTCACAGAGTGGCAAGTGAGCCCAGGATTGGGATATGATGGGTTGGGGGGGCGAGGGGAGGGAAGGGGAGGATTTACCGTGAAGGGGGGAAAAGGGGAGAACTTTGAAAAGCTGGGGAACACTCCTGATGGAGGTAAGGACTACGGTGAAACTGGGCAGATAGTGAGTACAGCAGGAAGGGAATATGGAAGATAGATTGGCAGGAGAGAGGGGATTCAGGGACTTGGCATAGAAGCATAGAATAGTATGTCAGGAACATAGGGGCAGCAGGAAGGAAGGATAGACACGGAGAAGAACTTTAGGGGACAGAACGGGTACGAAGATTAGGAACTACACTGTTTTGAGTTTGCAGGGATGAGGAGTACTACAGTCTTCCCCCGAATACAACTCACGGTCCTTATAGCTGAATTTAGACTGAAAGATAGACCAAATTCAGCTATAATGACCGTGCGTTGTATTCGGGGGAAGACTGTAGAGACATGCAGCCTGAGAGACTGCTGGAACCCCCCCCCCCGACCTGGCACCTCGCCCCCCTGGAACCCTTCTGCTGTGTGACTGGGTGCTGCCAGTAAGCTTCCCGGCCAGCAGAAGAGCCCCAGGGGAGGCCATGGTTTGGCGGGGGGACGGTCCGCAGCAGTTCCCCCTTGAATAGGTGACTAGTACTGCAAGGGCAAGGCTGAACCTTTTGCTATATCTTTTTTCCTTTCCTGTACTCATGTTTGCCGGTGATGAGCGACTGGACTGACGCCCCCCAGAATAGAAGGGGCCTTGAGTGTTTGCTAAAAAAAAAAAGAAGAAAAATTTGGAGGCTCAGCCTACTTGACCATAATGGCTGGCGGCGACAGCCAAAAAAAAAAAAAAAGTGCGGCAGCTGCAGGCCCAGGTGTACTGGTGGCTCAAGGTTGTAAAGACTGGTTGCTGAACTTTGAAAGTTTTTCAAGAATTATCCCATGTTGGCTGCCAGTCCCTGTAGAACCCAACCTTGCATTTGTACCCCCCGAAATGTTTGGCATGTCGACAATACTGCGATATTGACCACGGTGGTTCTTTTCATGCGTACTTTTACGTCCGGAACACATGTATTGTGGTTGGTTCCCTGCAGCTGTTATTGGGTGATGTTGGCGTGAAGTTTATGCCCTTGCCCGAGGAGCGTTTGCTGGCTGTCGTCCATGCTCTGTTGCATCGGTGCTACAAGTTTCCAGTCCCGACGACATGTGAGGTGCCTCCAGATCTGAAGAGAGAGTTATCTGGCATATGCAAGTAAGCTGGACATGGTACCGAAATACAAAGGATGGCATCATCAAGCTTAATTTGCTTTGGTGAATGTTTCCCCTGTCGTCCTGTTCTTTTCCCGTGAGGTCAACGCTATTGTGTGGTGTATGTGAGGGAGCTGGAAGTGCATGCTATAAAGTTTAAACAGACACAAGTCATCTTTTCCCGAAGCATTTGGTTCAAAAGCTGTAAGAGTTTTACTTTGTGAACCGAATACGTTTTGTATTTCTAACTGAATGGTCTTGATGTGCTGATACTTGAGGATGACGCAGATTGAAGTCCTCTGGAGAAGGTTTTTCTCTCTGCACTGTCTGCAGCAGTTAATCTTTCACGGTTATTTTACTTTGAAACTTTACTTGTAGCTATCGTCTTCACCCGAATAGAACGCCCGGTCGTTATAGCCGTATTTGGGGCAAGTTCAGTCCGGATGGGCTATAATGACCGGGCGTTCTATTCGGGTGAAGACGGTAGTCTTTTGGTTATGTGTGTTTGTGGCTTTGCGTTATGCGGCTTCTTCTGAACTTTTGGATTCTTTCCTCTTCCCATGTGGCCGCTGCTGCATGTGCCATCTGCGCGAGGAGTTTTTCTTGTCGCCTCTTTGTCTTTCATGTCGTGTCTCATGGTGTGATGTTTGCTCATGTTGTGTCTCCCGGTGTGATGAGTGCGGTTTGGCACTTGATGAGTGCGGTTTGGCACTTCATCTGACGCTGCTGCAATGAGCCCCACTGTAAGGGTCTTGTACGCTTTTGTCTCCTGTGCAAGGAGCAAAACAAGGAGAGAGCTCATTGCCCGGTAGTTTTGTGTTGAGAACAGGCGCAAGGAATGGTCGGCATTGATCGCTTTGAAGGCATCTGGGCATGGATGTTACCCCTTTCTCCTTTTTCTGTCTTCAATGGTTAAATTTTTGTCTATGCAATCGAATGGTTCTGGTGGTCCTACTTTTCTGTGATGGTGGTTATGCTCAGGGCATGCTTCTCTGCTCCGGACACGATGAGCAAGCACCACGAGTTTGTGAAGGAGTACAAGCAGGACTTCGAGCGGGATTTGGACCCTGAGAGTGTTGGCACATTCCCTTCTTCTCTGGCTGAACTCACAGAACGGCTGAAACATTGGCGTGTAGTTCTTCAGAACATTGTTCAGGATAAGATCCCTGCATGCTTGAAGTTGGAGGAAGAAAGTCCAGCTCTTGGGGACCTCCATGTCATCGACCTTGAGGTTCCTGGACAGTACTTCAATGATCAGGCAAGCCCATATGTCTCCAATTAACAAACTCACCATGTTCTCCCTGCCTAGCTGGCAATTGTCAGTTCCAAGCTCTCTCTCTCTCTCTCTCTCTCTCTCTCTCTCTCTCTCTCTCTCTCTCTCTCTCTCTCTCTCTCTCTCTCTCTCTCTCTNTGTGTGTGTGTGTGTGTGTGTGTGTGTGTGTTGTCATATTCGCTATACACTCAGAAAAAGCATGACTGTGCCAGACTGTTGTGTGTGTGTGTGTGTCTGCCGCCACTGTTTGGGTGTATAATACTGTATTATACTATTATCTGTATATATATCGTCAAATAGAACTGCCCGGTAAACCGTAGGCAGAGAGGGAGAAGAGGACGACAAACGAGGGGCTGTGACAAACTGTTTCGTCGGAGTTTCACCGACTCATCAGGAGGCTATACACAACGTTTTCCATACACAGTCCATGTAAGACGAAGAAGTTGTATAATCTGTTCATGAGTGGGCTGGCCTACCGTTGGAACTGTCCCACTGATGGAACTCTGGAGTGGTGGTAATCTGCGAGTGTTTCGTAGGTGATGTATGTTGTATTTCATTTGAATTTTGAAGTATAAATTGTAAAGTCGGGCTCTGCACAAGTTGTGAATTGTTTTGTACGTGATGTGTATGATCTTTTGATGGTGATCATAACGTCCTTCGACTCTACCTCTGAACAAGTTTGATGGTTGATGTTACGTTGTGTGTGCAGGAAGTGGCACCTGATCACACCATAAAGCTGAGCAGAATTGGTGCAGATGTGCAGATTGTGCGGCGGCATGGGACGAGCAACAGGCGGATTACCATGGTTGGACACGATGGATCTCAGAAGCATTTCTTGGTCCAGACATCTCTGACTCCAAATGCAAGGAGTGATGAGCGGATGGTTCAGTTATTCCGCGTCTTGAACAGACTACTAGATAAACATAAGGAAACGAGGCGCCGGCATCTGTCATTTCACACACCGCTCATCGTCCCTGTCTGGATGCAGGTGCGCCATCCAGCAACCTACTACCTTCTTCCCCCGAATAGAACGTATGGCCCAGTTGCAGGCATAATTGCCGTACGTTCTATTCGGGTGACGACAGTAGATTCTTTCTTGTTTTTTTTGCTGCCATTGCCCTCTGCCATTCTGTCCGCCTTCTCACTTGTATTTGGGGAGATCCTACCTCAGGATGCAGGTGCGCCATCCAGCAACCTACTACCTTCTTCCCCCGAATAGAACGTATGGCCTAGTTGCAGGCATAATTGCCGTACGTTCTATTCGGGTGACGACGGTAGATTCTTTCTTGTTTTTTTTGCTGCCATTGCTCTCTGCCGTTCTGTCCGCCTTCACACTTGTATTTGCGGAGATCCTACCTCAGATGATTTTGGATGAAGCTTGGCATGTCGGTTGGCTTACTTAGGGATGATGTGAAACAGACACTGTAGGCCCTCTCAAAAGTGGTGTCAGCGATCATTGGTTGATGGTAAATCTTTAGCATGCCTCAAACTGATTATGCATGAACTTGCAGGTTGTCTTTTTCGTATTGGAATTGTCACTACCTTTGTCGAGACTACTGTGGCTGCAATGGAGTGTGGTCCCCCACAATCGGGATTCCAGCATGACGTCCGGTTTTACATGTTAGAAAGTAATCAGACAGGTGCACAAATTCTTCATTAAACCACAGTTCCTCCGGGCCTCTTTTTCCCGTGGCGGATTTCCACTGCACCCCAGTAGTCTTAGAAAAAGACAAACTTCCGCAAGCGCATTTTCGTTTTTTTGGCTGGCGCAACCAGCCTTTTTGGGCCGGTAGCACTGTTGATCCAAAAGTCCAGCGGTGGACGAATTCATCGCAAAGTCTGCCTGGGGGAGGTACAGGTGGTTTTAGTCCTTTTTATATTTTCTTGTTGCTTTCCCTCACCAACACTGACAGTCTGCCTTCAGATCGTTCAAGATTTGCACCTCTTCTCTCCTGGGTATCCTCCCACGCTTCCTGGTTGTGTTCAATTTCACACCTCGCATGGTCGTTCCGGGTGTTTGAACGTGCATCTCACACCCATTCATTCTGTTTGGATTTTGATGCACTGAATTTTCCCCGCTGATCGATTATACATCCGTCCCCTTGTTCATTTCGTTGTGTATAAGCTCCATTTGGGTACATCAGTGCATTCAACTCATGGTTCTCTCGCTAGAATGAGTTTTTTTGTTTTTCTGTGTTTCATAGTGATGATATGCAGATTTTCCACCAGCAGCCTGGATCTGGATTTTGCTGTTTGTGCTCATTATGCACCTGGTCAAGGTGCAATCATGTTGACACCTGTTCAAGGTGCAATCATGTTCACACCTGCGCAAGGTGTAATTGTGTTCAGGTTTGATAGGTCTGATTTGTATCCTCAGTTCCTACTGCAATGAATCGCTTTTAATTTCACTCTCCACTCGGCATGCAACAACGAGATTTCACAATTGTCCGACGACCAATGCCGTGGCAACCAACAACCCCCAAGTACCGAACTCCCCCTTCCTTCGTGTGACTCTCTCTCTCTCTCTCTCTCTCTCTCTCTCTCTCTCTCTCTCTCTCTCTCTCTCTCTCTCTCTCTCTCTCTC